AACTTCAGTCATTAAACGAATAGTCGTGAGTTGGGGAAGGCCTGTATTTACCTCAGAAAAAAGTGGATTTCATTTAGCTGTTAGGTTTATGTTCTTCTGCACTCAGTCGCTGACTGGGTAGCTTTTAAAGGGAGCTTTAAGGACTTTCTTTTATTACTCATGGCTTAAAGTCTGGTCTAGCTGCTCTATGCTACCCTGGTTTCTCTGACAATTCCCATTGTGGAGGTATACATGTCAGTCCTGTCCCAGGGGCTATTTTAAAAGCATCATTGCATCGAGGAGAGAAGCAACCTAGAACTAAGGAGAAACTTCCTGACAGTCAGAATTAATCAATGGAAAAACCTGCCTCCAGAAGTTGTGGGTGTTCCAACACTGGAGGTTTTTAAGAAGAGACTGGACAGCCATTTATCTGAAATGGCATAGGGTTTCCTGCCTGAGCAGGGGGTTGGACTAGATGACCTCCATAGTCCCTTCCAACTCTATTCTATTCTATTCTATTCTATTCTATTCTATTCTATTCTATTCTATTCTATTCTATTCTATTCGTTGTTCTACTGAGAAAATTCGAATTACAGATAGTTCTTGATTTATGATAATTGGAACCAAGGTGGCTATTGAGTCACATCTGATTTTTTTTACCTCTTTTGTCCCAGTTGTTAAGTGAACCACTGCAGTTGTATAGTGAATCACATGGTCATTAAGTGAATCCGGTTCCCTCAATTGCAGTGGTTCTCAACCTTTCTAATGCCGTGACCCCATAATACATTTCCCCATGTTGTGGTGACCCCCAAGTGGGTGTGGCCACCAATAAGAGGGAGTAGGACAGCTAGGGAAAAGGGAAAAAAATGGCGGACAGCATGGTTTGGCAACCCCCGTGAAATGGTCATTCGACCCCAAATGGGGTCCTGACCCACAGGTTGAGAACCACTGCTCTATTGTCTTTAGCTGTCAGAAGCCAGCTGGAAAGGTTGCAAATGGCAGCCATGTCACCCTGGGATACGGCAACTGTTGTAAATACATGGCGATTGTCAAATGTCCAAATTCTGGTCACTCCTGTAACTGTGAAGATGCTGCGGTCATAAGTCCCTTTTTTTTCCATGTCTTCAAATTGTCACTCAATGAATGGCTGTAAGTTGAGGACTGCCTGTGATTTTATCGGACTGATTTGTGGCTATTGCTTTACTGCTTTTATTTTCTACTGTGCTTTGGTAAAGGCACATTATGATCATCCTTGGTCTAGTTCAGTGGTGGTGAACCTATGGCACGGGTGCCAGAGGCAGCACTGAGAGCCCTCTCGGTGGGCACGCACGCCATCGCCCCAGTGCTAGGCCTTCAGCTGGGTTTTATAAAACCTTTTCGCTTTAGGCCTCCGCTACTGTGTGCAAAAACAAAACATGTTCAATCAATCAGTCAATTTCAGCTTCTTGTGGGAAAAAAGAGATCTTGCAAAGTTGGAATTGATTGATTGAACTTTTTAGTCCCACCCAGTCTGCTGTTACCACTGAAGCCACACCCACCCAATGGGCCACACCCACCCAATGGGCCACACCCATCCAATGGGCCACACCCGCCCAGCACCCGATGATGCATAAGTGGGTTTTGGGTTGCAGTTTGGGCATTCGGTCTCTAAAAGGTTCGCCATCACTGGTCTAGTTCAGGGGTAGGCAACCTTGGCTCTTTTCACCATTGTACCACTTTTAGGATATGGCAACATTCGAGTACCACCAGTCACCTAGCAAGGTGTCAAAAACTTGATGACCAAAACAAAAAAAAAGGAAAAAAGTGATAAAGTACTGGTAGTCTTTGACTTATAACAGTTTGCTTAGTGACTGTTCAAAGTTACAATGGCACTGAAAAAAGTGCCCCCCAAGCCACAGCCAAGCAAGACAGCGCCTGGTGGCGCTTTTCCTCCTGTCCGAGGTTTTCATTGTTGTGAGCGTTTCTGTTGAGGATTGGCAGCAGGGGTGGGGTGGGGGGTGTTTGCTTTTTATTCCAAACACCCCCCACCTGGGTGGTTGCAGCAGGTTTTGGTCACTTCCCATGACCCTGGGACACTATGACCGTCATAAATATGAATCAGTTGCCAAGCATCTGAATGTAAATCACAAGACCCTGGAGATGCTGGAACAATCCAGCTGATTGGCGCTTCTTCAGGGCTCAGCAGAAGCACCAGGATCAGTGCCGAGCTCCAGCTGGAGCTGCTCCTGGCGCTTCCATTGAGCCCTGACAGCCCCGAAGAAGCACCGATCAGCTGGAGTTTGGCGCTGATCCTGGCGCTTCCGCTGAGCCCCGACAGCCCTGCAGTTCCAGCCATCTCTCGCTCAGGCTTGTGCGGTGCTGCCACCGGTTCAGCTCATTCCCCTCCCCACTACCACTTTTCTAGGATGGTCACAGACCACCTGCCAGGTGCCAATGGACCACAGGGGGTACCCGTACCCCTGGTTGAAAAGCCCTGCCATACAGCATTAACCTTGTGAACTCTCAAGCTTCTTCCTTCTGTTAGGTATTCAAGATGGACAGTATTTAATATTTATTTGTTATATATATGCAGGGGTGTGGGTCTATACATATGTTGTACATAGTATTGTTTATGTGTGTGTCATGTATGTGTTTCACTTTGAGGGCAGGCAACTAAATTTCATTTTTGATGTGTGCCGTTGTGCCCACAGTAAAAACATGACAATAAAGGTTATCTTATCTTATCTTGTCAACCCAGCGTCCTAACCATGTAAGCCACCGTGCTCCTACGTGGCCGCTAAGAGACAAAATCAAATCTGCCCTTCCTAGAATAATGACATGGAAGAATTATTTCTTGGATTTGTACCCCTGTCCAAATTTGACAGGCTGCAAGGATTTCCACGGGACCACAACCAACTGTGACTTGATGGGGAAATTCCATGTTTATACGTCAGTTTAGCTAAACAGGTTTACTGAGTTTCTTCTTGATGGATTCCTCTCTACAGACACCCCCCTATGTTAGGATTTTTTAAAGGAAAGAATTAAAATGTCCACACCTCATTTTAAAGAAATCACTGAGTTTATTTTTGGGCTCCTGGCTTGTAAAAAACACATTCGATTTTTTTTTAAAAAAAAAGCCGCTTTATACAAATATACAAATGCACATTTCTGGAAAAAAAATAAATAGAGGAGCAATTATTACAAAAACCCATTATATACACATTAAACTTCACAGACAAAGCTTCAGTATCACTGCATTAGTTGGCACAAGTCACAGTTAAATTACCCCTAATTCCGTTCTTAAAGAACAAAGAAAAATGTCATCTTCTAGGTAAGAAAAAAAAAAACAGACTTTGGCTGAGATTGCTAGCCCATACACAAGAAACTAGCAATAGAAAAGTGCTCAGAGAAATCTAAGTTTAAAAAGAGACATCTTTTCTTCCGAGAAAGCTGACATTCTCTGCAGATTATTTTAATTTGCTCAATACAACACTTTAATCTCTCAAGTGGGAATTTTGCAAACTTTGAAGAGTCAAACAACTTCACTCATGGATTACAAGGGGAGGCAGCCCTCATTCTGACATATCGAGAACTCGTAATGTACGTTAAAGATTTCCCACTACAGATAGTCCTCGATTTACGACCACAGCTGAGCCCAACATTCTTGTTGCTAAGCATGACAGTTGGTAAACGAGTTTTCCACCATTTTATGACCTTTCTGGCCACAGTGTTGCTAAGTGAATCTGGCTTCCTCGTTGACTTTGCTCGTCAGAAGGTCCCAAAAGGTGATCACGCGTCCCCAGGACACGGTGAACCATCAAAAATAGGATTTAACTGCCAAGCATTTGAATTTTGATCACGTGACCATGGGGGTGCTGCAACGGTTATACGAAAAATGATCATAAGTCCCTTTTTTCAGAGCCACCGTAACTATGAATGGTCACTAAATGAACTGTTGTAAGGACTACCTATACCGGGGTAGGCAACTTTGGCTCTTTATGACTGGTGGACTTCAACTCCCAGAATTCCTGAGCCAGCATGGCTCATCTTGGAAACCTCTCCCTTTCCCCTCAGCACGGCTGGCTCAGGAATTCTGGGAGTTGAAGTCCACCAGTCATAAAAGAGCCCAGGTTGCCTACCTCTGGCCTAGGCCTAGGCCGCTTTATGACTGGTGGACTTCAACTCCCAGAATTCCTGAGCCAGCATGGGGGAAACTATGGCCCCCTCATGACTCGTGGACTTCAACTCCCAGAATTCCTGAGCCAGCCTGGCTCAGCCTGGAAACCTCTCCCTTTCCCCTCAGCATGGCTGGCTCAGGAATTCTGGGAGTTGAAGTCCCCAGTCATAAAAGAGCCGAGGTTGCCTACCCCCGGTCTAGATCCCTAGAGTAGGGATCTTCAAACTTGGCTCTTTTGTGACTTGTGGACTTCAACTCCCAGAATTCCTGAGCCAGCAGGCTCAGCTTGGAAACCTCTCCCTTTCCCCTCAGCATGGCTGGCTCAGGAATTCTGGGAGTTGAAGTCCATGAGTCATAAAAGAGCCCAGGTTGCCTACCCTTGATTTATACAGTGAAGCGTTTTCCATTTTATCCCTGCAGATGTTTGCTTGCAAGAAGCCAACCTACAGTAGCTCCTTCTTCAAAAATGTAACAGACTTCAGAAATGGCAGATGATTCAATTACGTCTTAGCCATTTTTTGTGTCTACCTGATTTGAAAGCACACATACAGAGAATAAAGACACCCATAGCTCACTGCAGATGCAGTAGTCACTGATGCGCTTACCACTCAACTTAACATTAATTTCTCACAGCTCTCTCTAATAGGCCTACCATTTTATAAAACGCAGTCTCCTACACTAAGAGAAAGAGGATGTTTCAACAAGGGAAAACTCAAAAGACATTCGTATTTTTCTCTTGGGGAAAATTAAAGAGAAAAATATGAACTGATTTTGGGGCAAAAAAAGTGAAGACTGAACTTGTCCGTGGATCATGGATGTTAACTGAGTAGGGAGTTGGGGTGGGAGGGAGAATACAACTAATATATTTTTTCAAAAGTCATGGAACCCTGAACAGAAGCTGTACATTTTCTTCTGGGTCCTCTTTTATTAAACCAGACTTCACTTCACTCAAAAGTATGCTTTGCTCTCATTTTAAAAAAAAAGATTTGTTAGAGAGGCAGATGAAACGTTGCTGCAGAGTTATAGAATAAAATGATTTTCCTTCTAATACTTTAGAAAAGGAAAAACACCAGAAACAGGGAGGTATTGACTTGATTAACAACAGATAATTTTGAGTACAATGCTTTGGTCAGGCAAGTGGAGAATCTAAGAACTGTCATGTTGAAGGAGAAAAATATTCTTTCCTCCCACGAAGGGATTAGGATTGTGCATACTTAGAACATTATTTGGAAGAAGCGTTTCCAATCTCTCCATTTTTCACTAAAGCAGCCCTATTTTTTTTCTGGTTTCCAAATGGACCTGGAAGGGAGGGGAGGGGGCACCCTACTTATAAAGTTGCATTGACTTTAATAAGCAGATTTCTGAAAACATTCGTTTTTCAATCCAGGAACTACCAATGCAGACAAACAAGTAACTGTAAACAACAACCTAATCAAGGAACTCCCCAAAACATCCCACCGACATTGATGAGGCAAGCCACTAATACATAAAAACAAGAGCACACCCCACTCCTTTCTAGCACTGATGGTGTTACCTAGATGGGTAATGAAACATCTGCAAGAAAAAACACCAAGCTCAAATTTTTTGAGTGATAAGTAGGGGAATATACTTCTTCCCCGATCATTTTTGAAATATGCACTGAATAGATCCATCGATCCATTTCTCATCCTCGGCAACGTTAAGATGGGGAATTCTGGGAGCTGAAGTCCACACATCTTAATTTTGCAAAGGTTGAGAAACCGTGCTCTATCAATAGAAGACAGCGTTTCTAGCTTAGGGTTGAACTGTGGCTTGCTCTGTCATTGTTAGGAGACCACAACATCTCCCCACCAACAATCAACACCCAGATTACTAGAGATTAACACCAACATTAATCCTAGACCAGTGTTTCTCAACCTTGACAATTTTAAGGCATGTGGACTTCAACTCCCAGAATTCCACAGCCAGCATCGCTGGCTGTGGAATTCTGGGAGTTGAAGTCCACATGCCTTAAAATTGTCAAGGTTGAGAAACACTGTCCTAGACCAAGAAGCAGCAAGTAAACAAGACCCCAATCAAAGAACAAGCTGAAGTAAATGGCCTAGATAAGAAACCACAAAGAATATTCCCACCAACATTGAAAGGGCCAGCTATATTAGCACATAAACAGAAGGAAAAATCCCACTTCTAGTACTCATGATGACATTACCTAGTTGGGTAATGAAATGTCTGCCCCCCCCCCCAAAAAAACAAGCTACCAAACTCAGAGAGAACCAAGGACCCCACAGTGCCCTATATCATGTGACTGGCTCTGTCTGCATTCACATCAATTGTGGGGTTGCAATAACGTGCAACCTGTTTCGACTGGGCTTGTAAAAGAGGCATTAAAGACCCCCAACATTGACCAAGGCAAGATGGCATAGGCAAAACCAGGAAGGGTCTCTGAAAAGAGGCCAGTTTAGTAACAGGTGGGTTTATCCCCTCCCAATAAATAATTCTTTAAAAAAGTAGAAGCCATAAATATAAAAAGTTCTCTGAGTTATCATCCACGCTGAGACAGTTTTTAGCCACCCCGCAGATTCATCTTTAAACTACAAGCTCTTGCAAGTGCTGACAAGTGAGGAAGCCGGAGGAAAAAGTCTGCAGAAACACGTTTTGGCCTCTTGTCTTTCGTCACAGCAAATGCTTTTTCCAGCTGGGTTGGTCCCTGATGGATCTAGGCGGCTTCCCAAGGAGGACACTTCAATGCCAGTTTGATCCTGGTCTAAGAAAGGGAGAGACAAACAAAGAGCATGATTTAAGGGGCTCAAATATAGCTCTGATTCGCTTCAAGGATAATTAAGATGAGCTGGTCTCAAAGAGAAACACAAAAGGAAAAAAAATCACCCTCTAAACGCAGGGGTTCTCAACCTTGGCAACTTTAAGACTTGTGGACTTGTGGGAGTTGAAGTCCACAAGTTGAAGTCCACAAGTCTTAAAGTTGCCAAGGTTGAGAACCCCTGCTTAAAGATTGGTGGGGGGAAGCCAAGGTCCTGTCCCAGGCAGTTGGTGGGATGTTCCATTTGACTAATGGCCACTGGACCACAAATGGTCTTCTTGTCATGCTTGAGGAGAACCACTGATGGAGGCTTCCAGATACCATAAAGTTAAATTTATTTTGTGGCGGGAAATGTTGAGTAAAATGCCCAATTTACATAAGGACGGTCAAGAGTTCTCTTAGAACAGGGTTCCCCAACCTTGCAACTTTAAGATACATGGACCCATGTGATCAAAACCACGTTCTTTTATTTTTATATACAAGTTATCCACCCTGTTGACTTTTTTTGACTACCTTTGCAGATGTCCCTACCTCCCGTTTGCCATTTGCAGTCTTCAGAGGCTCACAGGAGGCCCCAGAAAGCTCAACGGTAGTATTTTTGGACTTGAGATTTGATTTGATTCCATCCTCTTTCTCCCTCTCCTCCTGCTCCTTCTCTATCACCACCACCAGTAATTGCTTCTCCTCCGCCTTTCCCTTCTCCACCATCGCTATGATCAGGGGACTGGAGGCTAAAGCATATAAGGAACGGTTGCTGGAATTGGGTATGTTTAGTCAGTGTTTCTCAACCTTGACAATTTTAAGGCATGTGGATTTCAACTCCCAGAATTCCACAGCCAGCATTGCTGGCTGTGGAATTCTGGGAGTTGAAGTCCACATGCCTTAAAATTGTCAAGGTTGAGAAACACTGCGTTAAATGAAGAGAAGGACAATAGCAGTCTTCCAGTATCTCAGGGGCTGCCCCAAAGAAGAGGCAATCTTCCAGTATCTCAGGGGCTGCCCCAAAGAAGAGGCAGTCAAGCTGTTCTCCAGAGCCCCTGAAGGCAGGAGAAGAAGCAATGGATGGAAACTCATCAAGGAGAGAAGCAACCTGGAACTCAGGAGAAACTTCCTGACAGTGAGAACAATTAACCAGTGGAACAACCTGCCTCCAGAAGCTGTGGATGCTCCAACACTGGAAGTTTTTAAGAAGAGATCGGACAGCCCTTTGTCTGAAATGGTATAGGCTTTCCTGCCTGAGCAGGGGATTGGACTAGATGACCTCCAAGGTCCCTTCCAACTTTATGATTATGATTATGATTCTCCTCCTCCAGCACTATTTCTCCTTCTCCTTCTCCTCATGTGCCATCATCACTTCTTTCCTTTCTCCTTCCTTTCTTCTTTCCCTTTTTGAGGTGTTAGGGAGCTTAAGAGGCACACTGTTAGTTTAAGTTCTGGGGACACTGTGGATGTCCTCTGCATTTTTCCAAACATTCCCAAATCAAGTTCTTTCCTATTTTGGGAGTATTAAGGGAGAGCCCAGCTCAGTAGATTTGGGGGAACAACTGTCTTCTCTGCAACACAGTCAGACAACCCCTCACGCTAATTCTGTTGCAAGCAATTAAATTCTGAACTGGCACCAAGACTTACATTGTTCTGTTCCATTTTTGCCACCCTTCTCGGCATTTTACAAACCAGAGTTCTTGGCCGGGAGATACGTCGGTCTTCCCAGGGTCTTCTGCACAAAACACAAGCCTGAAACAAAACCAAAGGTGCTTTAAGTCACACAGAACACAAGGACCTTTAAATGGAAAGTGATACTAAGCTATCTATTCAAAGTTTGTAAATTTTCTATGACGAAACTGTTAATTCCCAGATCATTGTTTGTCATCCATGGAAATTTTTTAACAAAAACTTATAAATATCTATTAGAGATAGATTTACAGGAAGAAATAGTGAAAGGGCCAATGATAGGGTGGGCACGAAATGTGGGCCGAAATATAAATCTGGAAGAATGGGAAAGATTATGGAATATAAATTCCAAACTGACATTGTCAACTGCATATAGGGAAAATCAATACAAAATGTTCTATAGATGGCATTTAGTACCAGCGAGATTGGCCAAAATGTATAAAAATATGAATCCGGAATGTTGGAAATGTAAAAATAAGGAAGGAACATTTTATCACATGTGGTGGCTGTGTCCTAAAGCAAAGAGCTATTGGGAACGGATAAGGAATTGGATACAGGAGATAACTAGGGTGCAAATTGAACTCAAACCGGAACTATTTTTATTGGATATAATAAATTTAAAGATGGAAAAACAACTCCAACACATCATTATACATATATTAACAGCAGCCCGCATAGTATACGCCCAGTGTTGGAAGGGTGAAAACATACCTACAAACGATATGATCATTTACAAAATTCTAGAATGCACGAAAATGAATAAAAGTGCGCTAGAATTAAAAGACAAGGAGGCAACAGAATTTTATGAAATATGGAACAAATGTTATAATTGGCTAGAACAGAGAAAGAAAAAGATACGATTACTGATGTAAATAAATTGTAAATAATATATATGAGATGTATAACATAGTTCTGTTAAAGGAAAAAAAATGTATTCTTTTCATTTTTTTTGTTGTACAGTGAAAAAAGAATAAATAAAAATTAAAAAAAAAACACAACAAAGTTTGTAAATTTTCTGTGACAAAACTGTTAATTCCCAGATCACTGTTTGTCATCCATGGCAAATTATGACCTGTGGACTTCATCTCGCAGAATTGCCCAGCTAGTATACTGGAAGTTGAAGTCGTGTTCATTAACTACTATTGTTTTTTCCAAAATATAGGAACCAAGACAACACGCTGTACATTAGGCACTAAGGACTGTTCTTGTAAAAAATGGATAAAACATTTCTAACCTGTTTTATGACTGAGGGTGGAATGAATTTAGGTCTCCTCAATCCCAGTGTGGGACATTCACCACCAGCCCATATCGGTTCGAGAACAGTGTTTCTCAACCTTGACCATTTGAAGGCATGTGGACTTCAACTCCCAGAATTCCACAGCCAGCTTTGCTGGCTGTGGAATTCTGGGAGTTGAAGTCCACATGCCTTAAAATGGTCAAAGTTGAGAAACACTGTTCTAGAACTCAGAGGGACTGGCTTAAAATCAGCGAGCAGAAGCAGGGTCTCCGTGTTCCTAACCCAACCTGTCAACTGCTACAGCTCTCTCTGCAATTGCCCCGTTGTGGTTCTTCTGATTGTCCAATTTTGCAAGCCGATAAAAGATCAGCAGCCTCCTTCCCTCGTACTGAGGCTTCTTTTGAGGAATGTCTCCCCTGAGACTGTGGGGGTTAAATTCTTGAATTTGCTTCAGATTAGTAAAGTAGCTCCTACATGCCTGGAATGTGAGCCCGGAGGAGGATCACTTCACTGGATCACTTCACTGTACATAGAAGAGATTTGATGAGAGTAGACCAGGCTCTTCGGTTAATAATAATAATAATAATAATAGTAAAGTTGGAAGGGACCTTGGAGGTCATCTAGTCCAACCCCCTGCTCAGGCAAGAAACCCTACATCATTTCAGACAAATGGCTGTCTAGTCTCTTCTTAAAAAATTCTAGTGTTGGAGCATTCACCGCTTCTGGAGGCAGGTAGTTCCACTGGTTAATTGTTCTAACTGTCAGGAAGTTTCTCCTTAGTTCTAGGTTGCTTCTCTCCTTGATTAGGTTCCATCCGTTGCTTCTTGTCCTGCGCTTTAGAGAATAGCTTGACTCCCTCTTCTTTGGGGCAGCCCCTGAGATATTGGAATACTGCTATCCTGTCTCCCCTTGTCCTTCTCTTCGTTAAACTAGACATACCCAATTCTAGCAACCGTTCCTTATATGCTTTAGCCTCCAGTCCCCTAATCATCTTTGTTGCTCTTCTCTGTACTCTTTCTAGAGTCTCAACATCCTTTCCACATCGTGGTGACCAAAACTGGATTTGTTGACCTTCGTGTGACTCCAGAAAGCCCAGATGAAAATACCAATAAAGGAGAATATTTGCAGCTCAGAGTTGAAATGAGGGGTCCCTGGTGCTCTCTGAGCTGGGTGGTTTTCTTGCAGACGTTTCATGACCCATACTAGGTAACATCATCAGCATTGATGCCCTGGTGATCTTATCTAGGTTGGGTAATGAAACATCTGTAAGAAAACAATGCAGCTCAGAGAGCACCAAGGATCCTTGATAGATAAAAATTCTTACTAGGTAGATAAATATGAAGCATTGAAATCCAGCACGCAAAGACACACAGAGAGAGCTGTTCTCTGGGTCATTCACGTTTCCTCGGAGAGATATTTTCTACCAGCAGTTCTTTGACATCTATTAACATGAAAAACCAAAAGGTTTATCTTAGATTTTTAAGAAGAGACTGGACAGCCATTTGTCCAAAATGGTATAGGGTTTCCTGCCTGAGCAGGGGGTTGGACTAGATGACCTCCAAGGTCTCTTCCAACTTTTATTATTATTATTATTATTATTATTTATTATTATTATTATTATTATTATTATTATTATTATTATCAATCATCGCACAGTCAGCCAGATGTTCAGACTGGATTTGGCATTTTGTCTACCTATCGAGTCCTTACCCAGGACCTGGGATAGGCAGATGTGGATGTTTGATGGTATTACAGGTATCGTCACAGGATGGAAGCAGTTCCTAATAAGGCTGCCTTTTGCAATTGACTAATAGCGAATTTGTCAATGCCAATGGTGTTCAAGTGGTGCTCCAGTTGTTTTGGGATTGCACCCAAGGAGCCTATGACTATTGGTACTACCCTTGCTTGCTTTTGCCACAGTCTTTCTATTTCTATTTGTAGGTCTTTGTATTTTGTTATCTTCTCCAGTTCTTTCTCTTCTATTCTGCTATCTCCAGGCACTGCCACGTCCACTATCCAGACTTTTTTGTCTTTCTTATCGACAATTGTTAAGTCTGGGGTGTTATGTTGCAGGTGCTTGTCTGTTTGAATTCTGAAGTCCCAGAGCAGTTTAATTTTATCATTTTCTATGACTTTCTCTATTTTATGATCCCACCAGTTTTTGCTTACAGGCAAATGATATTTTTTGCAGATCTTCCAATGCACCATTGTTGCTACTTTGTCATGCCGCTGCTTGTAATCAGTCTGTGCAATCTTCTTGCAACAGCTTACCAGGTGGTCCACTGTTTCTTCAGCTTCTTTGCATAGGCGGCACTTACTGTCTGTTGCTGTCTTCTCAATTTTGACTTTGTATGCATTTGTCCTTAAGGCTTGGTCTTGTGCAGCCAGAATTAGTCCCTCGGTCTCTTTCTTCAATTTTCCTGCTCTTAGCCATTGCCAGGTTTGTATTTATCTGCTTTCCCAGCTATTTTTTTCATGTATTGGCCATGTAGTGCTTTGTCTTCCCATGCCTCTATTCTGTTCTTCATTTGGTCTTTCTTGTAGGCCAGTTTGGTCTCTCCAGTAGTTAGTAAGCCTTCCTGATATACTAATTTCAGTGCATCTTCATCATTGTTCTTCAGATATTCTTCCAAAGTCATTTTTTCTTCTTCAACCATCTGATGTACTTGTAGCATTCCACGCCCACCTATTTGCCTTGGTAGATAAAGTCTATCAATGTCACTGCGTGGATGAAGGGTATGATTCATTGTCATTATTTTTCTGGTCTGCCTATCCATTGCTTTTAGTTCTGCTTGAGTCCAGTCCACTATTCCAGCTGTGTACCTAATGACTGGGATTGCCCAGGTGTTGATTGCCTTTATGGTATTTCCTCCATTGAGTTTGGACTTTAAGATCTTCTTCACCCTCTTGATGTATTCACCTCTAATTTTTTTCTTGACTTCAGTGTGCTTGATGTTGTCAGCTTGAAGGATACCCAAGTATTTGTAGTACTCTTCCTCATCCAGACTCTTAATGCTATTTTCGTGGGGCATCTTGATTCCTTCAGTTTTCACTATTTTTCCTTGTTTGATAGTAAGTGTGGCACATTTGTCCAAGCCAAACTCCATTACAATATCTTGGCTATATATACGGACAGTGTTGTTGTTATTATTATTATTATTATTATTATTATTATTACTATTACTATTTATGGAAAGATAGCAGATGACCAGACTGTTTCCCCTAAATTAATTCTCCAATTTGTAAAAGGTTCTCCTATCCTTGAGTTAATTTGTAAAGATGCAGGTTAGATTAAGGTATTATTCGGGCCTTTTGCTTGCTAACTAAAGTCGTGCTCCTAAAAGCAATTTTGATTAATAAACTGAACATGAAACCAGATGGAATTACTCCAGATTATGAGGATTCAAAACTAAAACAGCAGCTACTATGAATTCACAGCTTTTTTAACATCATTTTTTAATTTTTTATGTCATTTTTATATCATCCCCCTTCAAATCCATTTCTCTGCACTTTATTTCACCTGATTTTGATTTCTTGAGGAAACAAAGGCTGTTTTGATTTTTGAAAAAGGAACATTGAAGAGCAAAATAAACCCAGTTCTCGACTTATGAGTACAAGGGGAACTAAAATTTATATTGCCAAGCAAGGGGGGTCATTAAATAAGTTGCCACTGATTTTACAATCTTTTTTGTCACAGTTAAGAGAATCACTGTAGTTGTTATTTGAATCACATGGTCATTAAATGAATCCAGCTCCCCCCCATTGACTTTGCTTATGGGAAGCAGGCTGGGAACAGGCACATCCAGGTGGTCCTTGATTTACAACCACAACTGAGCCCCCAATTTTTGTTGCTAAGGGAGCCATTTGTTAAGTGAGTTCTGCTCCATTTTACGCCATTTCTTGCCATAGTTGTTAAGTGAATCACTACTGTTGCTAAGTTAGTAACATGGTTGTTAAGTGAATCTGGCTTCCCCATGGACTTTGCTTGTCCGAAAGTCACAAAAAGTGTTCACATGACCCCAAAATACTGCAACCGTCATTTTTTGATCACGTGACCCTGGGGATGCCACAACGGCCGTAAGTGTGAAAAAAGAGCGTAAGTCGCCTTCTTCAGTGCCGTTGTGACTTTGAACGGTCACTAAAGGGACTGTTGTAAGTCGGGGACTACCTACACACAAACATGCGTGCAGGTGTGAATTGTTTAGCTCAGGGATAGGCCACCTTGGCTCTTTTGTGACTCGTGGACTTCAACTCCCAGAATCTCTGAGCCAGCCATGCTGAGGGGAAAGGGAGAGGTTTCCAAGCTGAGCCAGGCTGGCTGAGGAATTCTGGGAGTTGAAGTCCACAAGTCATGAGGGGGCCATAGTTTCTCCATGCTGGCTCAGGAATTCTGGGAGTTGAAGTCCACGAGTCACAAAAGAGCCATGGTTGCCTACCCCTGAACTAAGCCAGGGGTCTTCAAACTTGGCTCTTTTATGACTGGTGGACTTCAACTCCCAGAATTCCTGAGCCAGCCATGCTGAGGGGAAAGGGAGAGGTTTCCAAGCTGAGCCATGCTGGCTCAGGAATTCTGGGAGTTGAAATCACGAGTCATAAAAGAGCCAAGGTTGCCCACCCCTGGTTTAGCTCAAACTGACCTTCCCTTCCCTCCCGGCCAGTCTGCCCAACAGAAAAAGATGGTGGGGACAGGGCATCACCGCCATTCAGACGGTCAGGTGCTCCCTAATGGGGATCCTCCCGCAAGCACTCACTTCTTCTGCGTTTCTCCCGACTTCACGCGGATCCGTCTGATCTGCAGTTCTTTGGACGAGGGATCAGGCTTGGACCAGTAATTTTTCATTTGGCTCCAAAAGTTGTACCAGGACTGGGTGGTGCTTTCCCAAGTGAGTTTGATCCTTAGGATATCACCCACGTCTTCTTCTGTGTAAACCAGGAAGGTGTTTGTATAGTTGAGGCCGATCTGATCGGATCTGAAAAGGAAGCCAGAGTTGAACCGATGCCCGTTCATCCGCCAGCTCAGCCCTGCTCCAGCGGGGAGACCTCAAGGCCCCGTAGAGACCAAGGGTCAAGCTCATGAGGTAGATTAGACCCCCGAGCTGGAAGTTCCCAAGCCTCATTTCACATTATGGGGGCACTAAGAGATGCAGTGTACGAACGCAGAGCCATTGAGAACTTCTCTGGACCCTTCCCCACTTTAAAACAAGGGATCTACCAACCTTTCCTAGGATAGAGCTAGGCCAGGGGTAGGCCACCTTGGCTCTTTTATGACTCGTGGACTTCAACTCCCAGAATTCCTGAGCCAGCATGGGGGAACTACGGCCACCTCACAACTGGTGGACTTCAACTCCCAGAATTCCTCAGCCAGCCTGGATCAGCTTGGAGACCTCTCCCTTTCCCCTCAGCATGGCTGGCTCAGGAATTCTGGGAGTTGAAGTCACGAGTCATAAAAGAGCCAAGGTTGCATACCCATGACCTATACCATCTCAGACAAGTGATTGTTTAGCCCAGGGGTAGGCAACCTTGGCTCTTTTATGACTGGTGGACTTCAACTCCCAGAATTCCTCAGCCAGCCTGGCTCAGCTTGGAAACCTCTCCCTTTCCCCTCAGCATGGCTGGCTCAAGAATTCTGGGAGTTGAAGTCCACCAGTCATAAAAGAGCCAAGGTTGCCCACCCCTGGGCTAGGAAAACAAAATGTGGAGGTGGCCTTCTTAGAAAAACAATATCAACTTTAACGAGAATGACTGATATTTGAAGTTTTCCACTTACACTTCCAGAGGCAGAGGTTCCGAATCGCCGCTGGTTCCATAGAAAGTCACAGAAAAAGACGGTTCCGTTTCTCCCAGGCTCTTGTAACTGAAGACGTGGATCTTCAGCTGATAGTGGAAAACTGAGAAAGACAGAGGAGAGTGGCAAATTTGTGGTAACCTAAACAGACATGGTGTCATGGTTCCGAGGGCTGAAACTCTTCAAAGAACTTCGAGGCATTATTTACCTTAAAGAATCTTTATTTTGAATAGCATAGCATCGGCACTGCATAATCGAAGCCAAAATCTGAATTCCCCTCCCCTGGGCGCATAGTATCAAAGCACAATTCCCTCCTCCAGTTAACAATCATAAATCACATTCTCCAATTAGTTTGAAATGCAGGCTTCCCCTCCAGTTCTCCAGCCCGCCAATTCTTATCATCTCTTATTTCAAAAACCTTGGTTCTCACACAGGTTACAGTATTGTTGTGTCTAACTAAACTCCCATGCACATTCCTCCTCCCCCCCCCCCCCAGTATCATCTAATTCAGTGTTTCCCAAACTTGACAATTTTAAGGCATGTGGACTTCAACTCCCAGAATTCCACAGCCAGCGTTGCTGGCTGTGGAATTCTGGGAGTTGAAGTCCTCATGCCTTAAAATTGTCAAGTTTGGGAAACACTGATCTAATTCTAACTCTAATTCTAAGAGTAAAACATAAGAAGGAAAATGGCTGCATCTCCATCTGTTGTCAAAGCAAAAACATCTGATGTTAGCAGCGTTGACACATGGCTTGCAAGGGGAGGGCCAAGGGGCAGAGGATCCGAGTGCCACCTGTGTTGTCGGGGCCCCAAACTAGAAGACTAGAGAGAATCAGAAAAGCAGTAGGGGGTGGATGATGGATTCCCTAGTACCCAAAGGAGAAAGAAGACCACGGCTTTTGCTCCACCACAAAGCTCTTGCACGCCAGGAAGTTAATTGTAGGCAATCCTTGAAATACGACCACAATGGAGTCCAAAGTTTCTGTTGCAAAGACAGTTGTTAAATGAGTTTTGCCTCATTTTTAGGACCTTTCTTGCCACAGTTGTTAAATGAATCACTGCAGGTGTTCAGTTCGTAACACGGTTGTAAAGTGAAACTGGATTCCCCATTGGCTGAGGGATCGGCACTGAAAAGGTGACATGAGCGTTTTTCACACTTACGACCGTTGCAGCCTCCCCAGGGTCATGTGATCAAAAGTGAGACGGTTAGCAACTGACTCATATTTATGACGGTCGCAATGTCTCCTTTTGCAACCTTCTGACAAAGAAATCAACGGGGGAGCCAGTTTCACTTTACTGTCGTGTTACTAACTTAACACCTGCAGGGATTGGTGGCAAGAAATATCGTAAAATGGGGCAAAGCTCACTTAGCGACGGCCTCGCTTAGCAATGAAAATGTTGGGCTCCGTTGTGTCCGTAAGTCGAGGACTACCCATAGCAGGATTCGCCTTACCTTTGAAAGGCATGTCGGCCCTTGTCTTGAGGTACATCTTGCTGTTGCGCTTGTTCCGCATCTTCTTGATGTTGTATCCGATGCTGTTGCAGCGATTCTTCCGGCAGCTCAGGCAGATGCCCTTCTTGAAGCGCCCGGAATCCGTGCACTGGAAGGCAAAACTCTGCTTGTCCTTGTTCACCAGGGAGTCCACAAAGAGGTGCACGGACCGCTCGTGTTCACAGATCACAAGGTCTCCGATCTCTGGAAGGGGAGATGGCCCACAGGGAAGAATAACAATAACAATAACAAGAACAAGGAGAAGGAGAAGCTGGAAGGGACCTTGGAGGTCATCTAGTCCAACCCCCTGCTCAGGCAGGAAACCCCATATCATTTCAGACAAAGGGCTGTCCGGTCTCTTCTTAAAAGCTTTCAGTGTTGGAGCATTCACTGCTTCTGGAGGCAGGTGGTTCCACTGGTTAATTGTTCTCACTGGTAGGAAGTTTCTCCTTAGTTCCAGGTTGCTTCTCTCCTTGATCAGTTTCCATCTGTTGCTTCTTGTCTTCCCTTCAGGGACTTTGGAGAATAGCTTGACTCCCTCTTCTTTGGGGCAGCCCCTGAGATACTGGAAGATTGCTATAATGTCCCCCCTCGTCCTTCTCTTCATTAAACTAGACATACCAATTCCAGCAGTTTTAGCCTCCCCTAATCATTTTTATTGCTCTTCTCTGCACTCTTTCTAGAGTCTCAACATCTTTTTTACATTGTGGTGACCAAAACTGGATGCCGTATTTCAAGGTATTAATATTTCACGTCAATTAACACTTCATTGGAACCTTGGAGTCCTAGTGGACAATCACTTGACCGTGAGTGAGCCGGGTACAGCAGCAGCCAAAAAAGCTAACACACTCCTGGGTTGTATAAACAGAGGCACAGAATCAAAATCAGGTGACGTATTAGTACCGCTTTATAAAGCCTTAGTAAGACCACACCTGGAATGCTGCAGCCAATTTTGGTCACATTATACAAAAGATGTTAAAATTTTGGAAAAAGTGCAAAGAAGAGCAACTAAGATGATTAAAGGCCTGGAGACTAAAACTTGAAGAACGGGTGCAGGAATCGGGTATGGCCAGTCTAGAAAAAAGAAGGACTAGGGCAGTGATAGCTAACCTTTTAGAGACCGAGTGCCCAAACTGCAACCCAAAACCCACTTATGCATCGCCGGGTGGCGGGTGGGCGTGGCCCCCGAGTAGGCGTGGCCCCTGAGCTGTCAGCTCACGCTCGCTGTCCGCTCCAACTTGTGCTCGCTCGCTTGCTCACTGTCTGCAGCAAATGCTGCTTCCGCCAAAAGTTGCTCCTTTTATAGCCTCTTGCCTGTTCCCAGACTGGGCGTGTGCAGAGAGCTGCGCGTGCGCGGAGAGGAGGAGGGAACAGCTCAGCCCAGCAATGGCTCGCGTGCCACCAGAGACGGCTCCGTGCGCCGCCTGTGGCACGCGTGCCATAGGTTCCCCACCACGGGACTAGGGAGTGACAGGATAGCAGTCTTCCATATTTGAGGGGCTCCCACAAAGAAGAGGAGGGGGTCAAGTTATTTTCCAAAGCACCAGAAGGCAAGACAAGAAACAGTGGATGCAAACTAATCCAGGAGAGAAGCAACTCAGAATTAAGGAGAAACTTCCTAACACTGAGGACAATTAATCAGTGGAAGGACTTGCCTCCCGACGTTGTGGGTGCTTCATCCCTGGAGAGTTTTTAAGAAAAGACGGGACAACCACTTGTTTGAAATGGTATAAGCCGGGTCTTCTGCTTGTGGGGGGTGGGGTGGACTAGAAGACCTCCAAGATCCCTTCCAGCTCTATTCTGAACTGAACTGAACTGCAATGCAAAAAAGCCCATTTCGCATTCTCCTGCTCATGTGCAGCAGCAAAGCCTATGCTTTTTGGGAGCGCAGCAGAAGCAGAAGCTCTGCCTGGCCCACAACCAGAAAGGCCAGCAGCCAAGCATGTTGCAGCGCAGCCCAAAGGACACACATATCATTTAAATAATGAGGGTGATGCAGAAGCAGTTGGAAACGTTTCCTAAACTGAAATGGCTTTGTATTTTAAAAGGGAAGGCGTTGCCAACGATCGCAAGGCCTCAGGGCCACTAGCCAGGCAGCCCCACAGGCATCCTTCTCCCCTTCCTAGTGCCACAAGAGGGAGAGTCCCCAGAAAGAGGCTGGGAGTTTAAATAACGGCTTTGCATTTACAAAGCGTGCGCCGTAGTTTAAAGTCCTTCCAGAGGATATTCTAGCTGAAACCCTTAAACACAGCCCTTCCAAGGCTGGGCTCCTTCCAGAATTTGGGGGCTACCAATCCATAATGCCTCCCAGGAGCCGGGCTTTTGATCACACTGCTCAGGGGTTATGGGAACCAAGCTCAGCAGCAACAGCCATGTGGAGAGTCAAACTCAGCGAGAAGGCATTGCCTCCTCCCCCTCCTCCTCCTCCTCCTGTCCAGTTTAATGAAAATAAGGACTAGGGGTGACATATTGCAATCTGGAATTAGGCATGTCTAGTTTAATGAAGGGAAGGACGAGGGGGGACATGATAGCAGCCTTCCAGTATCTCAGGGGCTGCCCCAAAGAAGAGGGAGTCAAGCTATTCTCCAAGGCGCCTGAAGGCAGGACAAGGAGCAACGGGTGGAAACCAATCAAGGAGAGAAGCACCCTAGAACTAAGGAGAAACTTCCTGACAGTGAGAACAATTAACCAGTGGAACCACCTGCCTCCAGAAGCTGTGAATGCTCCAACACTGGAAGGTTTTAAGAAGAGACTGGACAGCCATTTGTCTGAAATGGTGCAGGGTTTCCTGCTTGAGCAGGGGGTTGGACTAGAAGACCTCCAAGGTCCCTTCCAACTTTTTATTACTATGGATCATTGCACAGTCATCCAGATGTTCAGACTGGATTTGGCATTTTGTCTACCTATCGAGTCCTTACCCAGGACCTGGGATAGGCAGATGGGGATGTTTGATGGTATTACAGATATCGTCGCAGGATGGAAGCAGTTCCTAATAAGGCTGCCTTTTGCAATTGACTAATAGCGAATTTGTCAATGCCAATGGTGTTCAATTGGTGCTCCAGTTGTTTTGGGATTGCACCCAAGGAGCCTATGACTATTGGTACTACCCTTGCTTGCTTTTGCCACAGTCTTTCTATTTCTATTTGTAGGTCTTTGTATTTTGTTATCTTCTCCAGTTCTTTCTCATCTCTTCTGCTGTCTCATCATCATCATCATCATCATCATCATCATCATTATTATTATCTTTCCAATATCTAAGGAGCTGCCACAAAGAAAAAAGGGGTCACCCTGTTGAAGGCAGGAAAAGAAGTAATGGATGGAAACTAATCAAGGAGAAAACCAATCTAGAAATAAGGAGAAATCTCCTGACAGTGAGCACAATTAATCAGTGGAATAGAAGTTGCCTTCAAAAGTTGTGGATACTCCATCACTGGAGGTTTTAAAAAGAGATTAGACAGTTATTTACCTGAAATGGTATAGGCCAATAGTAGGCAACCTCGGTTCTTTTATGACTCCTGGACTTCAACTCCCAGAAGTCCTGAGCCAGCCATGCTGAGGGGAAAGGGAGAGGCTTCCAAGCTGAGCCATTGTTGGCTCAGGAATTCTGGGAGTTGAAGTCCACCAGTTATAATAGGGCCAAGATTGAAGACCCCTACCCTAGGCCTAGAGTCTAGACCAGGGATAGGCAACCTTGGCTCTTTTGTGACTCGTGGACTTAAACTCCCAGAATTCCTGAGCCAGCCTGGCTCAGCTTGGAAACCTCTCCCTTTCCCCTCAGCGTGGCTGGCTCGGGAATTCTGGGAGTTAAAGTCCATGAGTCATAAAAGAGCCAAGGTTGCCTATCCCTGGTCTAGACTCTAGGCCTAGGGTAGGGGTCTTCAATCTTGGCCCTATTATGACTGGTGGACTTCAACTCCCAGAATTCCTGAGCCAGCCCCGCTGAGGGGAAAGGGAGAGGTTTCCAAGCTGAGCCATGGCTGGCTGAGGAATTCTGGGAGTTGAAGTCCACCGGTCATAAAAGAGCCAAGGTGGCCTACCTTTGCACTAGGCCAAACAGACTCTTATGCCAGGGTATTCATTTTTACAAGGATTATTTTACTAATACCCTTGTTTGATATCAACTGTCACACTCCCTTCCTCAGAGAAATAGCTGTCCATCTCTGAAGAAATCCCCATTTTCCACTTGGAAAGGAGCCCAACATGGCCTTCCTTCCTCCGGGATGCTCTCTGAAGCCACTCCACAGATCCAGCGGAAGAGTCAACTCACCGCCTAAAGCCAGCGTTCCCAAGATATCCGTAAGCCCACATCCTGGCTGGATGTCTCCTCCATTGGGGTAAATGTCAATGTGACCCACGGGCATCTGGATCCCGATGCTGATGCCCAACGTTTCTCTCGTGTACGTGTGCAGGACATCCACAAAATCAGCATCATCAGGGGAGAGACGTCTGCTTGGATCGGCTCCCTCAAACATCGGCCCAGCTGGATCCAAGCCTGCAATAGCCGAGGCATGTAGTTAGCCCTTCACCATAATTGAAGGTCATCGTTCTTCTAGCACAGGGGTGGGGAACGATGGCCCCTTTATGACTTGTGGACTTCAACTCCCAGAATTCCTGAGCCAGCAAAGCTGGCTCAGGAATTCTGGGAGTTGACGTCCACCAGTCATAAAGGGGCCATCGTTCCCCACCTCTGTTCTAGAGGAACCTGGTTCGTATCTTATCAGAGAAATGATTAGTCTAGACCAGGGGTAGACAACCTTGGCTCTTTTATGACTGGTGGACTTCAACTCCCAGAATTCCTGAGCCAGCCTGACTCAGCTTGGAAACCTCTCCCTTTCCCCTCAGCGTGGCTGGCTCAGGAATTCTGGGAGTTGAAGTCCACCAGTCATAAAGGGGCCATCGTTCCCCACCTCTGTTCTAGAGGAACCTGGTTCGTATCTTATCAGAGAAATGATTAGTCTAGACCAGGGGTAGACAACCTTGGCTCTTTTATGACTGGTGGACTTCAACTCCCAGAATTCCTGAGCCAGCCTGGCTCAGCTTGGGAATCTCTCCCTTTCCCCTCAGCACAGCTGGCTCATGAATTCTGGGAGTTGAAGTCCACGAGTTGTAAAAGAGCCAAGGTTGCCTACCCCTGGACTAGATCGCCAGCAGGGACAAACTTTATGCTACTTTAACCATTAGATTATGGTGGATCTCATGGTTAACTTCTAAATTTGGAGGTGGGTGGGTACCTAGAACCCAAAATTAGCTTCCTGGGGCTGTACAGAGCCCATGGCCCACCTATACATCGATCAGCTTAGGTTTTTTTTCCAAAGAAGGGAGCTACATTTCTCGCAAGCTCTGCTTTGCTATCTAATAGAACTTGCATCCAACATACAGGCAATCTCAGAAGGGGAAAAAGAAAATGGAAGAAGATTTTCATTCACGAATGAACTATGAAACTTTTATGCCTCCCATTTCCCCGACAAAGTGACTTTTGGGGCAAAACTGTCCTGCATATTTTCAGCAATTCTGAGACCCGCAAAAGTGGGGTTGGGGAATCCCTCCTAGCCTTGGGGTTACAGGCTGTCTGGTCTGGAAGGGGAATTATAAAGTAGATTCTCCGTGAGATGCAAAGTTTGGAGAAAAATATTCTTGGCAAATTAAGGTTCTGGGTGTGTGCACGCAGACCAAAGGGGACACACGCACATACTTAAAACACACGTACACACCGAGCCGGGAAGAAAAGTTTGACTGATGACCCCTTCCCCCCAAATTTTTTTTTTTCACGTGGCAGTTAAGGTTTAAGGGTGGATCGAGGAGTGCAAATCCGCCACTAATGCCAATAAAAGCTTTTTTTCTTAACCTTTCTCCGGTATAATGAAGGACCGAGAGCACTAGAAGTCAAAAAGCTGATGACATGGCAGAAGACAGACGAGAAGGCATGGATCCAAATGAGATGCCCTCCTGCTTTCTGACTTTGGCCCCGTCCACCACCGACCACAACCCAGCCTTGACCAAACACAGATCTGCAATTACCCCCAAGGGCATGCGCAAGGCTATTTCGAGTGGGATGGCTTTGATTAATTACTTGAAGTTGCACACAATTTACTCAAGGTCGGCTAAGTCAAACTTGGCAACTTTAAGACTTGTGGACTTCGACTCCCAGCCACGTTGAAGTCCGCAAGTCTTCAAAGTTGCCAAATTTGGAGACTAATTCTCTAGGGCTACAAAAACCCCTTTTTTTGCACTAAACGGGACATCAGGCAGTTGCAGAAACGGGAGGCCAACCGCTGTAATGTTTTGGGAAAGCAAGAGAAAGCCGCCAGGTGGTCTCCTTACCTGTAATTCTTCCAATAATCCCCCGGGCATAGTTTCCAGTGTAGCCAGCGATGTGGGCCCCGAGACTGTAGCCAATCAGATGGACGTTCTTGAGTTGGAAGTCCTTCTTCTCCTGCAACCATGAACAGGAGGAATAAATCCCTCGCTGCTGGTGACTCCACCGCATTATTTAACAAATGGACAAAACTTCATGCTAGAAATTTCCTCCCAGAAAAATAGCAATAGCAATAGCATTCAGCCTTACATACCCACCCCCTAGCCCAGGGATAGGCAACCTCGCCTCTTTTATGACTCATGGACGTCAACTCCCAGAATTCCTGAGCCAGCCACGCTGAGGGGAAAGGGAGAGGTTTCCAAGCTGAGCCAGGTTGGCTGAGGAATTCTGGGAGTTGAAGTCCACGAGTCATAAAAGGGCCAAGTTTGAAGACCCCTACCCTAGGCCTAGAGTCTAGCCCAGGGATAGGCAACCTTGGCTCTTTTATGACTGGTGGACTTCAACTCCCAGAATTCCTGAGCCAGCATGGGGGAACTATGCCCCCCCTCATGACTCGTGGACTTCAACTCCCAGAATTCCTGAGCCAGCCTGGCTCAGCTTGGAAACCTCTCCCTGTGCTCTCAGCATGGCTGGCTCAGGAATTCTGGGAGTTGAAGTCCACCAGTCATAAAAGGGCCAAGTTTGAAGACCCCCTACCCTAGGCCTAGAGTCTAGCCCAGGGATAGGCAACCTTGGCTCTTTTATGACTCATGGACATCAACTCCCAGAATTCCTGAGTCAGCTATGCTATGCTGACTCAGGAATTCTGGGAGCTGACGTCCATGAGTCATAAAAGAGGCGAGGTTGCCTACCCCTGCGGCCTAGCCCTTGACAATGTTCTCTGGACAGTTTACAATTAAGCATTATTGGCATGCAGGTAGTCCTCGACTTACGACCACAACTGAACCCAAAATTCATGTTGCTAAGTGAGACATTGTTTAAGTGAGTTTTGCCCCATTTTGCGACCTTCCTTGCTACAGTTGTTAAATGAATCACTGCAGTTGTTAAGTTAGTCACACGGTTGTTAAGTGAATCTGGCTTCCCCATTGGCTTTGCTTGTCAGAAGGTTGCAAAAGGGGATCACGAGACCCACAAAGACACTGTGACTGTCATAAATATGAGTCAGTGGCCGAGCATCTGTATTTTGATCACGTGACCTATGGAGATGCTGCAAAGGCTGTAAAGTGCCAAAAACGGTCACAAGTCACACTTTTTTCTGGGCCGTTGTAACTGTGGGTGGTCACTAAATGAACAGTTGTAAGTCAAGGACCACCTGTATTGCCCCCAACAATTTGGGCCCTCCTTTTATGGACCTCAGAAGGCTGGAAGGCTGAGTCAACCTTGAGCTCTGTCAGGATCGAACTCCAGGTTGTGGGCAGAGTTTGCCTGCAATACCGTATTTGACCACTAGGCCACCAGAGCTCACAAAACCCCCATGTCTTCGAAAAGCAAGTGTGTTTAAGAAAATTTCATTTTAGTTTATGTCCAGTTAGTCACCCACCCCTCAAATGTGCATTCCTCCACACAACTACAAACTATTCCGGCCTGTAAAGGGCCGTAGTAAAGAACAGCTAGGCCAGGGGTAGGCAACTTTGGCTCTTTTATGACTCGTGGACTTCAACTCCCAGAATTCCTGAGCCAGCCAGGCGGGCTCAGGAATTCTGGGAGTTGAAGTCCACGAGTCATAAAAGAGCCGAGGTTGCCTACCCCTGAGCTAGGCCATTCAATTCTAAATGTACGCATAGTTAAAGTTAAAGAAGGCCTCAGTCCCAATGCCAAACTACACAAAACAGCTTGGAAGATCAGGCCTGTCTAATGGGGAGGAGATTAATTAAAGACAGAAGTTGGCTAATCAACTGTGACAAGAGAGGGGGGGGAGAGAAGCAAATTTGGATTAAGGAACAGCTGCCGGCTGCAAGGGACGAGGCCTGCCTACGGAGATCAGCAAAATCAATATGCGCATAAAATAGAGGCGAGTCTATCGCTTTTGGACTAAGATCAAGTGAGGAGGCTCATATTTAAGATCTGTGAAACGATGGTGTTTCCTACTCCCCACTTTTCCAAATGACAGCTGGGACCTAACTTGATTAAGGGGCAGATAAGTCAAGGAATGATTAAACAATTAGGGATTAACCAAGCCGATCTGAGCCAGATTGGCAGATGGAAAGGGATGAAGCCGCTGTGCATTTTCACACAGGTTGTGTCCCTGAGATATCCGGTATGTAATCAGCCCCCCAATTATTTCCTCTCCTCACCTTTTGGGCACTCGGCCAGCTTTGTCCTACCGCCCAAACAAACTCTTGCAGGTGCAAATGTGGCGTTTCCAAGCATCGACTTGGAAAGGTTGGGCTGTTGCTTTCTTGTGCAACTTGCAGAGTGAAATATTTGTAGACATTACCTCTAACCAGTCCAGCAGGCCTGCAAGTTCTTTTCCAACCACCCTCGTATTGTTGACGGCGATGGTGTAGAGTTGCTGGGCCAGAGCCAGCCAGTTCACCACCACCACGTTGGCTTCCTTCTCACGTTCCTGCAGAGCTGAGACCAGGGTGTCCAGCCATCTTTCATACATGCCCCCCATCTGGAAGAAAAATCAAGATATGGCCCCAATCTACTCCTAGGAAGATTGTAAGCAGGGCTTGACGTCTTCAGTAAATACTTATTTTTTTTTTTTAATAGAAGGATGCAGGAGTTCATACATTTGGAGAATGTGATCATGGAGAAGACTTGGCTTACTCCAAATCCAAAGATTTGGCTCGGCCAGGAGGTGCCTCCTGCCGTCCTCAGCCCAAATTCAAAAGAACATCTTCACAAGTGACCAGTTCGGTTTTCTAGCAAGGATCGTTTCTTCCCAAACAAAAGGTTGGTGAAGCAGAAGGGGTGAGAGAAGTGGCTTACCACATTGCGAAAATCACAATATTGATGTTGTTTTTTAACTTTTAAAACTATTAAGATACACAGTTTTTCAAGCTCAGAGTTTGGATCCTGATTCAAACTTTTTGATTCTAGAGTTGGCCCTTCTTATCTTAAACTCCTCCACCATTCGGTGAGAATGGAAGAAGCTTCTTGGATGAGAAGCGAAACAGCTTCAAGGAAAAACAAAGTCTAGTTGCCTTGTGAAAAAACACCTTTGGGATGACCGTGACCTGGATGTCTGAGATAAGCACTAAGAGGATCTGATCTTAACCAAGACCAGCACACATTGATGGAGGATACCTAACCCTCCCCTTCACTTGCTCACAAATCTCCTCCACACACACACTAACATTCTCCTTATTGTTTTTAACTGTATCGGGGCTGATACACTTTTTTTCTGTCATTTGGAGGGGGAAGAATTTTGAAAACCCAGAAGGTTCTACGTATCATGCTGGCATTACTCACTTAAAAACAGGCCAAACCATGCTGGGTATATAATAATAATAATAATAATAATAATAATAATAATAATAATAATAATAATAATAATAATAATAATAATAATAATAATAATATCTGAAAAATGGCTTTGGAAGAATATCTGAAGAACAATGATGAAGATGCACTGAAATTAGTATATCAGGAAGGCTTACTAACTACTGGAGAGACCAAACTGGCCTACAAGAAAGACCAAATGAAGAACAAAATAGAGGCATGGGAAGACAAAGCACTACATGGCCAATACATTAAAAAAATAGCTGGGAAAGCAGATAATAATAAAACCTGGCAATGGCTAAGAGCAGGAAAATTGAAGAAAGAAACCGAAGGATTAATTCTGGCTGCACAAGACCAAGCTTTAAGGACAAATGCATACAAAGTCAAAATTGAGAAGACAGCAACAGACAGTAAGTGCCGCCTATGCAAAGAAGCTGAAGAAACAGTGGACCACTTGGTAAGCTGTTGCAAGAAGATTGCACAGACTGATTACAAGCAGCGGCATGACAAAGTAGCAACAATGGTGCATTGGAAGATCTGCAAAAAATATCATTTGCCTGTAAGCAAAAACTGGTGGGATCATAAAATAGAGAAAGTCATAGAAAATGATAAAATTAAACTGCTCTGGGACTTCAGAATTCAAACAGACAAGCACCTGCAACATAACACCCCAGACTTAACAATTGTCGATAAGAAAGACAAAAAAGTCTGGATAGTGGACGTGGCAGTGCCTGGAGACAGCAGAATAGAAGAGAAAGAACTGGAGAAGATAACAAAATACAAAGACCTACAAATAGAAATAGAAAGACTGTGGCAAAAGCAAGCAAGGGTAGTACCAATAGTCATAGGCTCCTTGGGCGCAATCCCAAAACAACTGGAGCACCACTTGAACACCATTGGCATTGACAAATTTGCTATTAGTCAATTGCAAAAGGCGGCCTTATTAGGAACTGCTTCCATCCTGCGACGATACCTATAATACCATCAAACATCTACTTCTGCCTATCCCAGGTCCTGGGTAAGGACTCGATAGGTAGACAAAATGCCAAATCCAGTCTGAACATCTGGCTGACTGTGCGATGATTGATAATAATAATAAACAACTGGAGCACCACTTGAACACAATTGGCAATGACAAATTCACTATTAGTCAATTGCAAAAGGCGGCCTTACTAGGAACTGCTTCCATCTGCGACGATATCTGTAATACCATCAAACATCCACATCTGCCTATCCCAGGTCCTGGGTAAGGACTCGATAGGTAGACCAAATGCCAAATCCAGTCTGAACATCTGGCTGATTGTGCAATGATCCATAATAATAATAATAATGATGATGATGATGATGATAATAATAATAATAATAATGATAATAATAATAATAGTATAATAGAGTTGGAAGGGACCTTGGAGGTCACCTAGTCCAACCCTCTGCTCAGGCAGAAAACCCCACACCATTTCGGACAAATGGCTGTCCAGTCTCTTCTTAAAAACTTCCAGTGTTGGAGCATTCACCGCTTCTGGAGGCAGGTCGTTCCACTGGTTAATTGTTCTCCCTGTCAGGAAGTTTCTCCTTAGTTCTAGGTTGCTTCTCTCTTTGGTTAGTTTCCACCCGTTGCTTCTTGTCCTGCCTTCAGGTGCTTCGGAGAATAGCTTGACTCCCTCTTCTTTGGGGCAGTCCCTGAGATGTTGGAACACTGCTGTCATGTCAACCCTCGTCCTTCTCTTCATTAAACTTGACATTCCCAATTCCAGCAACTGTCCCTTGTATGTTTTAGCCTCCAGTCCCCTGATCATCTTTGTTGCTCTTCTCTGTACTCTTTCTAGAGTCTCAGCATCTTTTTTACATCGTGGTGACCAAAACTGGATGCAGTATTCCAAATGTGGCCTTATCAAGGCCTTGTAAAGTGGTATTAACCCTTCATGTGATCTTGATTCTATCCCTCTGTTAAGGCAGCCCAGCACTGTGTTGGCCTTTTTGGCAACTGCACCACACGGCTGGCTCATATTTAAGGGATTGTCCACTAGGACTTCGAGGTCCCTCTCACAGTTACTATACTTGTGCATTTGGTTTTTCTTGCCTTATGTAGAACCTTGCTTTTTTTACCATTTAATTTCATTTTGTTAGATAGCACCCAGTGTTCAAGTCTGCCCAGATCCTCCTGTATCCTAAGCCTGTCTTCTGGATGTATTATTTAGCTCAGCCCTTAGAAGTCACTACTGCCTGTCTTTCTTTGAACTGCCAGTTTGTCTGGGTCTATAAACGGATGTTTTCCTCTGTTTTGGCTAGGGTGGAAGGAACGACTATGCCATTTTTTTTTCTTTCCAAAAGGTGGAAAAATACTTGGGAATGATCCTCAACCTCAAGCTGCGTTTCACCAGGGAAAGTGGACAGGCACTGACTTAGCGACTGGTGGAATTCCAATTATCAATAAAGGAGAAAAAATATATCTCAGGGTTGAAATGTAGAGTCTTTGGTCCTCTCTGAACTGGGTTGTTCCCTTACCTTAACTAGGGAATGCTGATGAAAGTTTGGGTCATGAAACATTTGCTAGAAAACAATCCAGCTCAGGGATTCCTAATTAACCTAGAACTAAGGAGAAACTTCCTGACAGTGAGAACAATTAATCAGTGGAACAGCTTGCCTCCAGAAGCAGTAAATGCTCCAACACTGGAAGTTTTTAAGAAGAGACTGGACAGCCATTTGTCTGAAATGATGTAGGGTTTCCTGCCCGAGCAGGGGGTTGGACTAGATGACCTCTAAGGTCCCTTCCAACTTTACTACTATTACTATTACTATCTTCCTGGGAGCAAACAATTGAATACTTCCAGATTATTTGAAGGGCAACACACTTAGTATTTTCCAGTCAGTCTTCCTCAGGAGAATTCCTAGCAAGCTCCAACGTTTTCATGGCTGTGGAGCACCCATTACCGATTCATTGTTTGAGCCCTTCTTTCTGCCTCCCCAGGACACGGATTGGATTAGGCTGAAATTCATCCAGCGGGAACCTTGCGAACAATAGCCTGGTACAATTCAATGAGGTTTCACGGTCTAAATCAGGGGTCTTCAAACTTGGCCCTTTTATGACTTGTGGACTTCAACTCCCAGAATTCCTCAGCCAGGCACGCGTGCCTGGCTGAGGAATTCTGGGTGTTGAAGTCCACAAGTCATAAAAGGGCCAAGTTTGAAGATCCCTGATTTATATGGTGCCAGACTGACCACATCAGAGCCAAAGAGAAATCAAATCAGAGGCTGAAAATGCAGATTAGGGTGTTACCCCATAGAGCAGGGATCTTCAAACTTGGCCCTTTTATGACTTGTGGACTGGACGCATGCCTGGCTGAGGAATTCTGGGTGTTGAAGTCCACAAGTCATAAAAGGGCCAAGTTTGAAGATCCCTGATTTATATGGTGCCAGACTGACCACATCAGAGCCAAAGAGAAATCAAATCAGAGGCTGAAAATGCAGATTAGGGTGTTACCCCATAGAGCAGGGATCTTCAAACTTGGCCCTTTTATGACTTGTGGACTGGACGCATGCCTGGCTGAGGAATTCTGGGTGTTGAAGTCCACAAGTCATAAAAGGGCCAAGTTTGAAGATCCCTGATTTATATGGTGCCAGACTGACCACATCAGAGCCAAAGAGAAATCAAATCAGAGGCTGAAAATGCAGATTAGGGTGTTACCCCACAGAGCAGGGATCTTCAAACTTGGCCCTTTTATGACTTGTGGACTGGACGCGTGCCTGGCTGAGGAATTCTGGGTGTTGAAGTCCACAAGTCATAAAAGGGCCAAGTTTGAAGATCCCTGATTTATATGGTGCCAGACTGACCACATCAGAGCCAAAGAGAAATCAAATCAGAGGCTGAAAATGCAGATTAGGGTGTTACCCCACAGAGCAGGGATCTTCAAACTTGGCCCTTTTATGACTTGTGGACTGGACGCGTGCCTGGCTGAGGAATTCTGGGTGTTGAAGTCCACAAGTCATCAAAGGGCCAGGTGTGAAGGCCCCTGGTCTACTCTAAATAATAGAAATGACCAGTGTAGAAGGTACATCCCATCAAGAAAGATGGGCCGTTCAAAGCTGTATAGAACTGGTCTCTCGATATGGCAATGCTGCCAAAAATCAGTCACTGTAAATGATCACCGTTTTAATTGGGGAGCTTGTCACGTGTCGAGGAGCTCAGCAAAGTCCTTCTACTTACTGTCCATCCATGAATAACAAAGAAAGTCTTTGCGGAGACATTGAAGTTGCAGTCATCTAGGAGGTGGTCTTGACCAGCCGTGATGTAGCAGTCAGCATCATCCAGGCCTGGGGTGATACGAACAATGAACTTCACTTGTAGATCCCGGACTTTAGATGGTTCTTCTCTCAGCTTTTGCACTTGAGAAACGCTATCATCTGGAATAAAATATGCAGACTTTAAGATCATTCATCTGTAAGTGAGGTTGACCAAATAAGCTGAACAAATACGGGTAATCCTTGTCTGCAATAAATAAATTGCAGTCAGTTGCCAAGCGTCTGAATTTCGATCACATGAGAATGGGGGTGCTGCAATGGTCCATAAATGAAGGCAGGACAAGAAGCAACGGATGGAAGCTGATCAAAGAGAGAAGCGACCTAGAACTAAGGAGAAATTTCCTGACAGTGAGAACAATTAACCAGTGGAACCACCTGCCTCCAGAAGTTGTGAAAGCTCCAACACTGGAAGTTTTTAAGAAGAGACCGGACAGCCATTTGTCTGAAATGGTGTAGGGTTTCCTGCCTGTTGGACTAGATGACCTCCAAGGTCCCTTCCAACTTTATTATTATTAATAATAATATTAATGTAAAAAATGGTCACACATCACTTTTTTCAGTCTCTTTGTAACTTTGAATGGTCACTAAATGTTGTAAGTCAAGAACTACCTATACAGAATCTGCCTTCCTTGGTGCCCCTGAAATGTGTTGGACTTCAGCCTTCAAAAGTGGAAACTGAAATCCACATTCTCAGGAGAACATCACATCACAAACATCACAAAAGCTGACTTCATCTTCAACAGCTACCATCAGCTGCTGGTATAATCTGGCCCATCTCCCTTGTGCATTCACTGAGAAAGCTGAAAAGTTTTAGCATCTGAAAAAGATCTTTCCACATGTCATCTACTTAGGTCTGAAGAATGTCTACCAGGACTTCCCCATCTCCACAAGCTGATTCAATACGTATCTGGCAGCTTTTCAAACTATCAAATGCTCTCTTGGGAACTGGCCTATGAGTCAGTTGTGCAACCCGTAGCTAGAACTCAGCCACCAAGGAATGATTTCAACCAAATAATACATCCTGAGACAATGGAGACTTCAAAGAGGTCAAACAATATTGTGTATCTCTTTATCATGCTAAGCTATTTTTATAACTGTAAAGCCTCTGGGTGTTAAGTTTCCACAGAAAACCAATCTACAGAGCCAGCTAATTTGAAGGATAGCCTTTTCTCAGTTATATCTACCCGACCATCCAGAGTGAAAGAGGCAGTATGGGTCACCTCCCTTAAGAATGTCCATCTAGTGCAGGGCTGGGGAACCTGGGCTCTTTGATGACTTGTGGACTTCAACTCCCAGAATTCCTGAGCCATAAGTCATAAAAGAGCCAAGGTTCCCCACCCCTGATCTAGTGGAACCAAAAAGAAGGGTTCTCCCTGTAGAACAGGGGTCTTCAAAGTTGGCCCTTTGATGACTGGTGGACTTCAACTCCCAGAATTCCTCAGCCAGGCACGCGTGCCTGGCTGAGGAATTCTGGGAGTTGAAGTCCACCAATCATCAAAGGGCCAACTTTGAAGACCCCTGCTGTAGAACATCATCCCTGTGGAGATAAGACTGGTGCCACCTTGACATTCTTCTGCAAGGCCCTGGAGACAAAGTTTTGCCAATGGTCCTGGGGAACCCAGGCTGATACGGAGCCCATCAAGTGGCTGGTTTCATTATTGTCACGGTGTGTGTGTGTGTGTGTGTGTGTGTGTGTGTGTGTGTGTGTTTTGTAGTTGGGGTTTCATTTCTGTAAGCCACCAGGAGCCCCAGGGAGCGAGTTGGGCAGCCATATAAATCTTCTTAATCAATAAATAAATCTGAGGCCAGGAATCCATGCAAACCAAAGAAGAAAACCAGCCCTGTAAAAACCCACACCATCCCTGGTCCTGCCTCAAGATGCTGGGCTTGTCGGAGTGCCACACAACGGGATGAGCTCCTGCCCCTTGCCCCAGCTCCTGCTAAACTAGCAGTCCCAAAGCACGCAAATGTGAATAGATAACTAGGTACCACTTTGATGGGAAGTACTGGTAACAGTGCTCTGTGATGTCCTGCTGGCCACATGACCACAGAAACATAGAACATAGAATAATAAAGTTGGAAGGGACCTTGGAGGTCTTCTAGCCCAACCCCCTAAAACAGTGGTTCTCAACCTGTGGGTCGGGACCCCATTTGGGGTAGAACGACCATTTCACGGGGTCACCAAACAACGCAGTCCGCCATTTTTTCCCCCTTTTCCTTAGCTGTGCTACTCCCTGTTATTCTATTGGCTTTTGAAAGCCAACAGAACAGACTCTCTTGAATAGAGTCTAATTCTATTGGCTCTCCAAAGCCAATAGGAATTGTCCAGGCTGTCTCTGCCCTGCTGAGCCCTCCAAAAGTCCCAGTCTGCAAACGGTGCTGCACCAGTTGAGTAGTCCTCGACTTACGACCGGTTGAGTAGTCCTCGACTTACGACCGGTTGGGGGTTGCGGCATTAAAAAGTTTGAGAACCACTGCCCTAAAACGTCTTTGGATAGTACTGGCTCATCTCGACACAGAGATAAGAACTGCCCTCTATGGTCGTCAACAACTAGCGGAGTAAAATCCGCGAGGCCTCCTTTATCTTTTTTTAAACCTGCCCTTTCTTCCATTTTTATCCCATTTTTATCCTCCGATAACTAGCCAAGTATCCTAGGTTGAGAATGGGCCACCAAGCACCCAGCCTGGCTGAACAGGAGGAAGAATTCGGACCTAACCTCCAGGTAAAGTAGGACACAGCTTATTCCACCAAATTCGTCCTGCTCTTTGAACATCTGGTGTGCAAAGTCAGTTTGTTTTCAAAACTGCTGGAAAGATTTTCCACACCTTCTTGGTTGCAAGTGAACTGAACTAATCAATCAGATTAGAGCTGGGAGGGACTTTGGAGATCTTCTAGTCCAGCCCCCTGCTCAAGCAGGAGACCCCATACCATTTCCAGTCTTTTCTTAAAAACCTCCAATGTTGAAACCCCTGCAACGCGTTCCACTGGTGAATTGTCCTCACTGTTAGAAAATTTCTCCTTAATTCCAGATTGCTTCTCTCTTTGATGAGTTTCCAGCCATTGTTTCTCTTCCTGCCCTCTGGTACTTTGGAGAATAACGTGACTCCCTCCTCTTCTTTGTGGCAGCCCCTCAGATACTGGAACACTGCTAACATGTCTCCCCTATTTCTTCTCTTCTTTAGACCAGCCAAACCTAAGTCCCGCAGCTGTTCTTCGTATGTTTTGGTCTCCACGCCTTGGATCCTCTTAGTTGTTCTTCTCTGCACTTTTTCCAAACTCTCAACGTCTTTTTTGTGATATGGTGACCAGAACTGGCTGGAGTATTCCAGGTGTGCCCTCACTAGGGTTTTGTAAAGCAGTACTAATACTCTGCGTGATCTTGATTCTATGCCTCTGTTTATACAACCCAGGATTGTGTTATCTTTTTGGGTTGCTGCTGCACACGGCTGGCTAACAGTCAAGTGATTATCCACAAGGACTCCAAGGTCCCTCTCACAGTTGCTGTTTTTGTTCTCGTAGGCTTACAAGTTGCAAAATGGGAACAGGGTGGAGTTGAGCATGCACACGAAGCAGTAGTTAGTCTGGACTGACCCAGCAACCTTGTGCTTTAATTGTGACACTACAAGCAGCTCCGAGGTGCATGTCAGTGATCAAAAGAGGTGTTGGTAGGAAGGGTTTTCAGTGCAGGCGGTCCTTGACTTTCAACCACAACTGGGACCAGAATTTCTGTTGCTAAGAAAGTGGTTATTCAGTGAGTTATGCCCAATTTTATGAGCCTAGGACAAGGGTAGGCAACCTTGGCTCTTTTATGACTGGTAGACTTCAACTCCCAGAATTCCTGAGCCAGCCTGGCTCAGCATGGAAACCTCTCCCTTTCCCCTCAGCATGGCTGGCTGAGGAATTCTGGGAGCTGAAGTCCACGAGTCATAAAAAAGCCAAGGTTGCCCACCCCTGGCCTATTGGATTTGTTAAGCAAATCACTGCAATTGTTAAGCAGATCCCACAGTCGTGGACCTTGTTTGTCGGAAACCGGCTGGGAAGGTCACAAATGGTGATCACATGACTCTGGGATGTTGCGACCATCATAAATACAAGCTGGTTGTTAAGTGCCCAAATTTTAGGGATGCCGCAACCGTCATAAGTACGGGGACTGGTTGTTAGTCACATTTTCACTGCCTTTCTAATTTTGAACGACCACTAAACAAATAGTAAGTTGAGGACTAGCTGTATTTTGTGGAAGTTCTCTTATTGTTTTCCCCCCAGTAACCTTGAAGGCTTCTGGGGGGGGGATGTTTAGACTGTTGTAACTTCACTGGTTCTGTAGCTCGAGAGGGCACAAGGTTTCAGGGGAAATACAATATTTGGGGATTTCACCTTGAGAGGTGTGCTGAGGTCCCAAAAAAGGGGTGTCAGAAGAAATTAAAAAGTCCAGATGGAGCTGAGATTGCCCAATCAAAGCCTCTTTTCAAAGTGTGTTGCATGACAGCATTTATGCAACCTATTTTTTGGGTGATTCAATCAAGCCATTTGCTATAGTTGCCTAATATTTGGAAACAGAAGCTAATATAATGGGGAATTCACCCCAACTAAATTTAGCACACCAGAGGGCAGGCTAGATATTTAAGGAAGCCCCTGAAGGCAGGACGGATGGAAACTCATCAAGGAGAGAAACAACCTAGAACTAAGGAGAAACTTCCTGACAGTTAGAACAATTAACCAGTGGAACAACCTGCCTCCAGAAGCAGTGAATGCTTCAACACTGAAAGCTTTTAAGAAGAGACTGGACAGCCATTTGTCCAAAATGTTGTAGGGTTTCCTGCCTGAGCAGGGGGTTGGACTAGATGACCTCCAAGATCCCTTCCAACATTATGATGATGATGATGATGATGATGATTTACATCCAATAGGGATTCGGCCGATGGCCTGCTTGTTCCAAGTGCGTACAAGTCAGACACTGTGGGCATCCTTAGCATGCTGCCAAATACACACTGGCTAATTGCATGCAGACTTTGTACAATTGTGTCCTGGAATACCACAGGCCACAACACCTGCAGAAGGGAGGCAGAGTGTACACTAAACAAACTGTTGTAAGTTGAGGATTACCTGTATTGATTATGCTCAATAATATTATATCATTATATTATATACAGGTAGTCCTCAACTTACGACCACAGTTGAGCCCAAAATTTAGGTTGCTAAGTGAGAAATTTGAGTTTTGTCCCATGTTAGGACTTTTCTCGCCACAGTCATTAAGGGAATCATTGCAGTTGTTAAATTAGTAACACGGTTGTTAAGTGAATCTGGCCTCCCCATTGATTTTGCTCGTCAGAAGGTTGCAAAAGGGGATCACGTGACCCAAGGGACGCTGCGACCGTCATAAACGTGAGTCAGTTGTCAAGCATCTGAATGTAAATCACGTGACCACAGGTCATCAAGTGAACCGCTGTAAGTTGAGGACTACCTCTACTCAGTAATATTATATTATTAATTATATTAGGAATGCTAGGCGTAGGCCAGGGGTAGGCAACCTTGGCTCTTTTATGACTGGTGGACCAACTCCCAGAATTCCTGAGCCAGCCTGGCTCAGCTTGGAAACCTCTCCCTTTCCCTTCAGCATGGCTGGCTCAGGAATTCTGGGAGTTGAAGTCCACCAGTTATAAAAGGGCCACGTTTGAAGACCCCTGTTTTAAATATTTTAAATATTTTTTCCTCACAGTCACGTGATCAAAATTCAGGCATTTGAGCAGGGGTAGGCAACCTTGGCTCTTTCATATGACTGGTGGACTTCAACTCCCAGAATTCCTGAGCCAGCCATGCTGAGGGGAAAGGGAGAGGTTTCCAAGCTGAGCCAGGCTGGCTCAGGAATTCTGGGAATTGAAGTCCACCAGTCATAAAAGAGCCAAGGTTCCCCACCCCTGATGTAGGCAGACTTGCTTTTGATCGATGCCAGTTCTTTTGATCAGAAGTCAAACGGGGTCTTTTTGTGGCTTTGAGCCCCAGAAGCATCATGAGAAGCATCACATCAGAGGAGCAGAGGCGAGACAGGTCTATACTTGCACCTGTGTGGCAGCAACCTTACAAAAACCTCAGCTTAATTTGCAAATAGATAACAGAAGTTGAAATAGCAATATACAGCTTCAATTAAGGGTTATTACACTACCTATAGCGGCACCTGGATTATTGTCTGTGGCTCTCCTACCCCTTGTAGTCATAAAACTTGTTGAACAGCCTAGACTCAACACAAATCAAAGAGATAACTTTTCCTGGAAAGGACTTCTCCAAAGTTCTCTCTAAATCCCAAGAATATGGAGGTCAACAGAAGGATTCATCCAGGAGATATGAACTAAATTTCATTTTTGATGTGTGCCATTGTGCCCACAGTATAAAAAATGGCAATAAAGGTTATCTTATCTTATCTTAGTATACTTGTTGCCTTGGGCAGCACTTCGGATCGAGTGAAGCAACCGCATAAATAGCGCCTGTCCAATAAAAGCCGGAGAGAAGATGTGTTAGGCTCAGTTGGCAAAGGAATCCACCTTCATCTCAATAACTCACAAACTCAGCTTTATCTAAACCAGTGTTTCCCAAACTTGACAATTTTAAGGCATGTGGACTTCAACTCCCAGAATTCCACAGCCAGCGTTGCTGGCTGTGGAATTCTGGGAGTTGAAGTCCTCATGCCTTAAAATTGTCAAGTTTGGGAAACACTGATCTAAACCATGGTTTATGGCATCAGTGTTATAACGTGGCATGTTGTGTCATGCGGTTTTGAGGTGCAGACCATCAACTGCAAAATTTGTTCAACTGACCAAGCCGCACACAAGCAAAAACATGGAGGAGTAGCAGAAATTCTGAATTTTACATAAGACACGGCATTTGTCAATAGCCGTCCACTTCTGAGGATGTGCAATGAATGAATGAATGAACGAACGAACTCCAAAGGGGGAAAGAAAAACACCAGGAGAACCTACTGATCAGACAACGGAATTCAAGAGGAGTTGGTGCCATAAGACAATTTTAAAAATAAGGCCTCACGCACATTTTGCTATTATGACAATGCAATTTAATACTGCCTGCAAAGCAGGGTAAACTACAATTTTGCTACCAATGGAATGGAATAGAATAGGGCTGGAAGGGACCTGGGAGGTCTTCTAGTCTAGCCCCCTGCTGGAGCAGGAGAACCTCTAGTCCAGGGGTAGGCTACCTTGGCTCTTTTATGACTCGTGGACTTCAACTCCCAGAATTCCTGAGCCATCCATGCTGAGGGAAAAGGGAGAGGTTTCCAAGCTGAGCCAGGCTGGCTCAGGAATTCTGGGAGTTGAAGTCCACCAGTCATAAAAGAGCCAAGGTTCCCCACCCCTGCGTTTAGTCTGTCTAGCACAGGGGTAGGCAACCTCGGCTCTTTTATGACTCATGGACATTCAATTCCCAGAATTCCTGAGTCAGCACAGCTAGCATCTAGCATCTCCCTTTTTAGCTTTAGCTGGGCGAACGTCTCCAACTATTTGAAATCGTGAATCTATTACTTACAAACGGAGAGCAGAAATCCGCAAACGTCAGCAAACACCTGACTCAACTAAGACCACCGATAGAGTTACCCTAGATTTAGAAGCGATCCTATCATCCCGCTTCACGTCACATCATACGATCCGCTCGCTTGGGGTCTCGGCGCAACTAGGGGAGTCTCCCACTCGGGGCTGGCGGCTCCCCTAAAGCGTGGCCAGGCCGGGGCTCCGGGACCCCCGCGCGCCGCCAGTCGCCGCCACCGGTGACTCTCGAACCCCAAGACGAGCTGCGGAATTGCAGCCTCCTATCGGAGGGTCCGGGGCGGAGACCGAGCGCCCGGCGCTGTGTGAATGCGCCCCGGGAACACGTGGCCGCAAACTCCAAGGTCGAACCTCGCGCTTCCCGCGCCCAAGGGGCAGAACAGCCCCGCTGCTATTTCCCCAAGGAAGCGGTTCCCGGGGGCGGGGGAGGAGGAGGAGGAGGGGGGGAAAGGCCGGGTCCGGGCAGGGCGATTTTACGCGAGGGAGCCCGAAGCGCCGCTCGTCCCGGGCGGTTCCTTCGCCCGAGCGTCGAACCCGGGTTGGCTCGAGTTCTCACGTGCATCGCCAGATTAACAGCTCCCCGCCTCTCGACTCCCCCCCCCAATCCCCCCTTCCATCTCCCCCCCCCCGACCCCCAAAGGATCCCTCGAGGGGGAAAAAGCTCCGATCCAGCGGAGACTCCTCCAGGGAAGCCGCCTCGCCCCTTCCGCGCCCGCCAGGTGCCTCGCTGGGCTCCGGCGACGGGAGAAGCCGGGCCGGGTCTGGCATCCCGGAGCTGACCGAGTCCTTGCTCGGGCCGGGTGCATCCGAGGACGCGCGGACCTTCCCCGAAGGGCGACCCCCCGGCGGAGCTCCCGAGGCCGGGCAGCGCCCCCCTTACCTGGGCGGCGCTCCGGCCCCGCGCCCGCTGCGTCCCGGACAGCGGCGATGCGCCCGAGGCTGAGCAGGAGCGGCAGCAGCAGGAGGAGGAGGAAGGGGCAGGCGCGCATGGCTCGCTCCGCGCTCCGGCAGGGCTCCGCTCGGCTGCCGCGCTGGGCTGGGCTGGCAGGAGCAACGTGGGCAGCGCGAGGCGAGGAGAAAGAAGAAGAGGAAAAAGAAGAACAAGAGGAGGAAGAGAAGAGGAGGAGGAGGAGGAGGAAGAAGAAGAGGAGGAAGAAGAAGAAGAAGAGGCAGAGGAGTCCAGGCGCGCGCGAGCGTCCCCGGAGCAGCAGCAGCAGCAGCGCGTCCGGCGCCTCCTCTTCGGTGGGGCTGGAGAGGGAGCGGGGCGGGGGGAGGGCGGGGGTCCCTCCTAAATAGGCGAGTGGGCGCGTCACCTGACCCGTGGCCAGAGGGGGACGGGACTCCGGAGGCGCCGGCTCCCGGGCGCTGATTGGTCACGCCCCCCTGACGTCGAGCCAAAGCCGGCCAAAAGTGTCAATGAAGCGCCGACACACCCACCCGCGGGGGGGGGGGAGACCCGGTGAGGAGACGGCAGGCGGGAGCGGCAGCCCCTCCGACCGGGCAAAGCCACCGGCTCGTCGAGGATCCGGGAGCCCCGGGACTGCGTTCACACGCATACATGCTCGCTCCCTCCCTCCCGGCACGAGAAGCAGGGGGTCTCCCGGGGGATGCTCGCCCCTTGTTGGAGTGGGAAACGAGAAAAGGCGGAGAAGGCGGACCCTGAGCTGAAGCGGAGGTCCTAGGGGGGCTTCGGTGGGTGGAGGGAAGCGGTCCCACCCCTGGGCAAAGGGGGGGGCTGTCGTTTGGTACAACGCCCTTGCAGTGTAGTCCAAGAGCCCTGGCCGCCTCAACAGCCAACTTCGCCCTAGTCCAGGGTGCTTTGGAGAAGAGAGACGCCTGGCTGCAATTCAGGTTTGGTTCTGCAGACAGCCCAAACTCTTTTAGAACCCCTTTTTAAAGATTAATAGTCCAGGGCTTTTCAACCAGGGTACGGGTACCCCCTGTGGTCCATGGGCCCCTGGCAGGTAGTGCGCGACCATCCTAGAAAAGGGGTAGCAGGGGGGGAGGGGAATGAGCTGAACCGGTGGCAGCACCGCACAAGCCTGAGCGAGAGACGGCTGGAGCTGCAGGGCTGTCAGGACTCAGCGGAAGCACCAGGATCAGCGCCAGGCTCCAGCTGGAGCTCAGCACTGATCCTGGCGCTTCTGCTGAGCCCTGAAGAAGCACCAATCAGCTGGAAAGTAGCGCTGATCCTGACGCTTCTGCTGAGCCCAGAAGAAACGCCGATCAGCTGGAATGTTGCAGCCTCTCCAGGGTCTTGTGATTTACATTCAGAGGCTTGGCAACCGATTCATATTTATGACGGTCACAGTGTCCCAGGGTCATGGGAAGGGACCAAAACCTGTTGCAACCACCCAGCAGAGGGGGGGGGGGAATGAAAACCAAACACCCCCCACCCCACCCCCACCGCCTATCCTCAACAGAAATGCTCACAACAATGAAAACCTCGGACAGGAGGAAGAGCGCCCCGGGCGGGCAGGCAGGTGTCTTCCTCGGCTGTGCCCTGGGGGGGGCACTTTTTTCAGTGCCATTGTAACTTTTGTCACAAAGCAAACTGTTGTAAGTCAAGGACTACCTGTACTATATCACTTTTTTCTTTTGGGGGGAGGGTCATCAAGTTTTTGACACTTTGCTAGGCGACGGGTGGTACTTGGATATTGCCATATCCTAAAAGTGGTACAATGGGTGAAAAGGTTGAAAAGCCCTGTAATAGAATAACAGAGTTGGAAGGGACCTTGGAGGTCATCTAGTCCAACCCCCTCCCAAGCAGGAGACCTATGCCATTTCTGACAGACAGCTGTCCAGTCTCTTAGTAATAATAATAGTAATAGTAGTAAAGTTGGAAGGGATCTTGGAGGTCATCTAGTCCAACCCCCTGCTCAGGCAGGAAACCCTACACCAGTGGTTCTCAACCTGTGGGTCGGGACCCCATTTGGGGTCGAACGACCATTTCACGGGGGTCGCCAAACAACGCAGTCCGCCATATTTTTCCCCTTTTCCTTAGCTGTGCTACTCCCTTTTATTCTATTGGCTTTTGAAAGCCAATAGAATTAGACTCTCTTGAATAGAGTCTAATTCTATTGGCTTTCCAAAGCCAATAGGAATTGTCCAGGCTGTCTCTGCCCTGCTGACCCCGCCAAAAGTCCCATTCTGCAAACGGTGCTGCACCAGTTGAGTAGTCCTCGACTTACGACTGGTTGAGTAGTCCTCGACTTACGACCGGTTGGGGGTCGCGGCATTAAAAAGGTTGAGAACCACTGGCCTACACCATTTCGGACAAATGGCCGTCCAGTCTCTTCTTAAAAACTTCCAGTGTTGGAGCATTCACCGCTTCTGGAGGCAAGGAATTCCACTGGTTAATTGTTCTCTTGAGAGCCTCCAGTAATGAAGTTCCCACAACATCTGAAGGCAACTTCTGTTCCATCGGTGGATTGTTCTCACTGTCGAGAACTTTCTCCTTATTTCCAGGTTGAATCTCTCCTTGATCAGTTTCCATCCGTTGTTCCTTCTCCGGCTTTCAGGTGCTTTGGAAAATAGGTTCCCGTTACACTTTTAGCAGCATCCTTGAGGAGTGGGGTGGGGGGGGTTGCTTTTGCCAGATGTGAGGATGGCCACCCATTTAGACAGCTATACAGGTAGTCTTCAACATACAATCATTCATACATCTTGGAGAAGAGGACTAAAAAACAAATAGACTTTAAACCAGAATTATTTTTGTTAGGAATAATAGGAGCTAATTATGAGAAAGATTGCAGATATCTAATACTACACATGTTAACGGGAACAAGAATTGTATTTGCCCACCATTGGAAAAATGAAAATTTACCAACCAAAGAAGTACTAATTAAGAACATTCTAGAGTGTGCAGAAATGGATAGATTGACTTTAAAAATTAAAGAGAAAGAAGACTCAGTGTACTTTTTAGAACATGGGATAATTTCTATCAATGGCTAGAAAAACAAATCAGAGAGAAATTAATGTTATATGTAATTTTGAATATATATTAGCAAGACAAAGGCTATTGAGTGAGGAATTAACATATTGTTTATCATAATTAACTATATCTATTATTGTTAGTTAAATACATGTACCCAGACATTATGCTGTTTGCTAAATATTGAGAATGTTATTTGGAAAAACCCCTAACCCTAACCCAAATCCGAACCCTAATCCTGACCCACCTTATCCCTAACCCTAATAAAACTAATAAAATCTATACAAACATCCCCATACAATCATTTATTTAGTGTCCATTCAAAGGGGGGGAAGTGACGTATGACCTTTTTTCACATTTATGACAGTCGTACGTGATCAAGTTTCAGATGCCTGGCAACAGGTTCATATTTATGACCGTTGCAGAGGAGTCCCGGGGTCATGTGATCAGCTTTTGACAAGCAAAGGCAATGGATTCATTCACTTAACAACTTTGTCACTAAACAACTGCAGTGATTCACTTAGCAAGTGTGGCAAAAAGGAGCGTAAAATGGGGTAAAACTCGCTTTAATGTTTCACTTAGCAACAGAGATGTTGGGCTCCAGTATGGCCGTAAGTCAAGGACTACCTGTACTATTTTTTTTTACCAGTAGGATGGCGGTGGGGGTTCCTGTTGTCCTCCTCTGGGGCGTTTTTTTTTTTTTTTTTTTGACTTTCCAGCTTAGCCTGAGATTCCCTGGTTATCTCTGGTCCAAATGCAGGCTGCCCCGCTTAGCCAAGGTCATCCAGCTGCAAGTGAATCTAAAAGAGGCCGGGTCACTCCACTCCTGTGCCCGGAGATGATTTTGATGCCATTCAAGGAGATTAGCTTTGAGCAAGGTTCTTCTTGTTTTTTTAAAAGTTGAAGGAAAGAAAGAAATAAAAGATTGGGGCAGAGGGGAGAGAGAAAGAAAGGGGGGGGGAGAAAAGAGAAGGAGGGGCTAGAAGGAAAAAGAGGGAGGAGAGGAGAAAGAGAAAGAAAGAGAAAAAGAAAGAAAAGAAAGAAAAAAGAGAAAGAAAACAAAGAAAGAAAGAAAGAAAGAAAGAAAAATGTGGTTATGAGGAAGGAAGGAAGGAAGGAAGGAAGGAAGGAAGGAAGGAAGGAAGGAAGGAAGGAAGGAAGGAAGGAAGGAAGAATCCTGTTGTGGGAATCCAAACAGCATTTTGAGGTCAAGATCACCTCAACCCTGGTAGCGTTCCTAACAATGGATTTTCATCCATCCATCACAATACCGGAGACCTGGTTTCTGACACATGTGCTTTCCATTGATGTACATTTTTTCCAGCAAGGGAACATGCTTTCAACAGGATCTCTCAATGCTATTTATGACATGGTTACTTCCACTCGTCTTAATGTGTAAGCCAATTAAATTCTACTTACAAAGTGCAGGAGGAATAGATCCATACTTTTACTTACCATGTTTGCTGAGGAACTTGGATTATAGGATATCAGGTTTCTGGCACTGAGCTGTACGGCTGCAAAAGATTTTTTTTTTAAATTCTTGTAATGGAATAGCAACCTCAGCTTCTTCCAAATAAAACATATGAAGAAGTTGCAAACTTTTCAAAAAATGCTCAAGGTTTTCACACTCACTTGGCACACCTGCCCACAATGAACCTGGCCAACGACAGGCTGTGCAGAGACCTGTAGACTAATTTCATGAGTTTACACAACACCTTTCGGCTAGAAGCGCTTCAATGCAATGTACAAATATTGCCTATTTAATTTTGTTTAAACCAGTTCTTTCAGTGGAAAAAGAAGGGTCATCTTGGAACTTCGCTTGCCAACCTTCTCCACTTTCCAAAAACAGGGCAGGGGAGCACGTATTGTGTGAATGAGCATTCATGTCCAAATGGGTTTACATTCCCCATTAAGCCTGCTTGAAAACCTCAGTGTGGAGGTAAAGAAAAAAGAAAAAAAAAATCATGTTTTGCAATTTCATGATTGGAAATGCCTTGTTATTTTTACTCTATCTACTCTACTATACACATACACAAACATATACACATGTATGTGTGTGTGTGTGTGTGTGTGTGTGTGTGTGTGTATAAGCGGATGTTTTCATTAAATTTATGTTTGGGTTTGTATGTATAATGAGTTTTATTAGTATTGCATATAGTGTCGTGATTGCATGACCTCTATAGACGCCATATGCAAAATAAAGATGTTAAGATATTTAAATTTTAATAGCTGGAGTAGTGAAGGAGTGGACCATAAGTAAGAACGCACACTTGTAGCTAATTGGCTAAACAGAACTGGCCAGGGAATCTGAGCGTGATTGGTTGCTGTGAGCGTAAAGGGGGCGTTTC